ACACGCACACTTATTACAACAGTTGGCCCTCTCGACGGAGGGTCCGAATAAATAATATAACATCAACTAGCTAATCTAAGCTAATCTAATTAAGCTAGTTATTACACAACTAAAATGAATAATAAATTACAGCTAATTATTACACAACTCTAATTAATTAACAAACTAACTAAGTAAGCAATTAAACTAGCATGCAAACTACATGAATGTGGACTGCCTCAGCTCTGCCTTGAATGATAAAGGATGCATGCATGCTCGGGTTGCCTCGTTCGGAAATCCTTCGCGACGCCCCAACTTACCTTTGTTTGCAATTGATCTCAGAAACTTGCACAAAGCTCCAGAGAGATGAAACTCCACCTTGGGAATCTGTGGGAAGGCTGCCGACCAGCTTATAGGCATGGGAGACCAATGGCCGACCACCTTTTGTGGTGGAAACCAAAAAAAATGGTCGGCCTACCAGTAAATCTGGTCGGCCGACTAGTTTCCTCTCCTGGTTTCTGGTTTTCTGCAACAAAGGGAATGAGAGATGCACGGCAAAGTATTTGCAACACATGTGTGCACGACCACTCTCCTCATCATTGCATAAGCTCAAGGGAGTGAAGTCCTCGACTCTCGAGCCACCAATAACGCATTTCGATGCATGATGGCTGAGGAGTCGAATTGCACAACTCGATGTGAAATGAATGCACATACAAGCACCTAAAACCAACAACTCCGTCATGGGTAGTCAAGAGTGTCGGCGATCGGGAATCGAGACGCGTCTCATCACTTCGAGTATGAAACGCTTCTCGTTTCCCGTGTTTGGGCTAACTCCTATCCCAAACACAATGCAACAAACAAGACATGCGCCAATGCAACTCTAGCATGCAATCTTAAAGCAATACAATTAAGTCAGGCAAACATGCAAGGGATAACATGCAAACTTGCAACTAGCATACACAATGCTATGAACTAACAATGGTATACTCAATGCACATGACACTTAGCATACACAATGAGATGAACAAGGCATACACAATGCAATGATCAATCATGCAACAACATGGCATACTCAATGCTATGAACTACAATGGCATACTCAATGCAAAATGATCATGGCATGCTCGATGCAAACAATAACATAACATGCACAACGCATTATAACATGGCATACACAATGCAACAATAGACTAAAACCAAAATGGATAGGCCTCAGCCACACCCAAATCAGTGGCCAAACATGATGAAAACAAGGCAATGACACACACACAAGCATGCACAATGCAAGGGATCAAAACCTAAGGTACGAGATACAACTCTACAAAAGCATTGAAAGGATGAAATATGGCATACAATGGCATATATTCCAACTCTAAAATGGCATACAAAATGGTCCCGAATCATGCAAACAACTCATGTTATGCATGTTGAATGGCTCAAATACCGAAACTAGTGAAGTGCATTACACTAGAGGTATGCAAAGCAATGCCCAAATGAACAAACTAACCCCAAACAGTCCCTATGCAGGCCCAAAACAGTGGCAAAATGGACTAAGATGATGGCTTGAAATGCACAAAAATGAAACTCATGCAATGGCCCGTAAATGAGGTATACAAGCCCAACTCTCAAACGCATTTAAAGAGTGAAAAACATGGGAATATGGCACAAGTATAAGCTCTGAAATAACATGTTCAATGATACCAAGGCATGAAAACAACTCAAGTTAAGCATGCAAGAGACTTCAAAACTCAAAACTAGGCAAGGGTATTACACTACAAGCATGCATGACAAGCATTATTCAACCATGGGACCTCAAAATAGAGCTAAGGCAGCCCAAATCATGAATAAAATCAGTTTAGAACATGGCCAAAATGTGCTAGAATCAAGGGCCAAAACAACATGCAATGTGAGCTAGTGAGCATGGATTACACTACAAGCATATGAAGCTTTCAAGAGGCCACTAAATCAGAAAAATTCAGAGACATGACATGCCAAATAAAGCCCAAAAACCCACTGAAACATGATCAATGCATGCAAGGATGTCATGCTCCTTTGATAGGCTATAAGAGGGGTTATTCTACACATGCAAGGGACACACCCAAGGTGACAAAACCAACTCTGGATAGAGCCTAGGCAGGCCCTAAAAGTCACTGAAAAGGGCCTGAAACAAGGCTTGGATGTATGCAAATGAAGTCTCCTTTGTAAGGCCAAAAATGCTAGTGAACAAGACAAGGGGGGAGAGGGTCACCCCTCTCTGATTTTGGCTCTCAAAAACACATATTAACCACTGAAAATCTGTTGGATTTCAGTGGTTAAAAGACCAAGCAAAGGTCAACACAAAGACCTTAGGGCATAACTCAAAACAAGGCAAAATGAAGCATGCAAGGGGGTAGATGACCCCCAACAACAAAATGACCTTAAACAAACATCAAAAGGACCTCAAAACAAGAATTTTTTCAGTTGACAACAAAGCTCAAATATGCATGAAAATAAGGATAAGAGATGGATCAAAATAAAGCTTAAAAGAGGGAAAAAGAGTTACCCTTGTAGCTTAGCAAAATCAGCAACTTCTCCAGCCCAAAACCAACTCTTTGAGACCTCTCAAGACCCTCCAAGAACCTTAGAACAATGGTGGAGGTGCTCAAATACCGAAACTAGTGAAGTGCATTACACTAGAGGTATGCAAAGCAATGCCCAAATGAACAAACTAACCCCAAACAGTCCCTATGCAGGCCCAAAACAGTGGCAAAATGGACTAAGATGATGGCTTGAAATGCACAAAAATGAAACTCATGCAATGGCCCGTAAATGAGGTATACAAGCACAACTCTCAAACGCATTTAAAGAGTGAAAAACATGGGAATATGGCACAAGTATAAGCTCTGAAATAACATGTTCAATGATACCAAGGCATGAAAACAACTCAAGTTAAGCATGCAAGAGACTTCAAAACTCAAAACTAGGCAAGGGTATTACACTACAAGCATGCATGACAAGCATTATTCAACCATGGGACCTCAAAATAGAGCTAAGGCAGCCCAAATCATGAATAAAATCAGTTTAGAACATGGCCAAAATATGCTAGAATCAAGGGCCAAAACAGCATGCAATATGAGCTAGTGAACATGGATTACACTACAAGCATATGACGCATTCAAGAGGCCACTAAACTAGCAAAAGTCAGAGACATGACATGCCAAATAAAGCCCAAAAACCCACTGAAACATGGTTAATTCATGCAAGAATGAGATGCTCGTTTGATATGCTATAAGAGGGGTTATTCTACACATGCAAGGGACACACCCAAGGTGACAAAACCAACTCTGGATAGAGCCTAGGCAGGCTCTAAAAGTCACTGAAAAGGGCCTGAAACAAGGCTTTGGATGTATGCAAATGAAGTCTCCTTTGTAAGGCCAAAAATGCTAGTGAACAAGACAAGGGGAGAGAGGGTCACCCCTCTCTGATTTTGGCTCTCAAAAACACATATTAACCACTGAAAATATGTTGGATTTCAGTGGTTAAAAGACCAAGCAAAGGTCAACACAAAGGCCTTAGGGCATAACTCAAAACAAGGCAAAATGAAGCATGCAAGGGGGTAGATGACCCCCAACAACAAAATGACCTTAAACAAACATCAAAAGGACCTAAATGTGCATGCAAATAAGGCTAAGAGATGGATCTAAATAAAGCTTAAAAGAGGGAAAAAGTGTTACCCTTGTAGTTTAGCAAAATCAGCAACTTCTCCAGCCCAAAACCAACTTTTTGAGGCCTCTCAAGACCCTCCAAGAACCTTAGAACAATGGTGGAGGTGTGTGGCTATGAGGTGTGGTGCAAAGGTGCAAGAACAAGACCCTTTTGGACCCAAAGTGTAGAGATATAGAGAGGGATATATCTTGGAGCCTTAGAGCAATTTTAGAACCTGTGCCAAGGAAAATGAGGGCCTCTCTTATAAAGATACAAGGCCAAAGCTTCCTCAAGAAGCTAAAAACCAAGGCTCAAGATCCTCCATACATGGGTATAGAGGATACAGTCTGTGCCTTCCAGCTAGCACAGCTGGTACACACTTATAGAGACAAGACTAGGGGAGACAGACCGACCAGTTCAGGTGGTCGGTCGACCAGTTCAAAAGGTTCACCTCAAAGAAAGGTGGTCGGCAACCCCATTTGATGGTCTCCACATTGAATGCAAGCTAGCGGTATGGTGGGAGACCAGTAAATGTGGCTCAAAGACCAAGGAGACTAGCTTCCTAACAAGAAAATCGACTGGCGGGAGAAAAGTGGTCTCCAAGGAGAAAGGGTGGTCTCCCACCCTTTTACCACCTCCCAAACAATGAAAACATGGTCTATGCCAAAAATGAACCAAGACGGATGCAAAACGAGGGTTCGGGGGTCAAAACGCGCAGCCGGGTGTCTCGAAAACAGGCTGTTAAGTATCGAAAGTGGCGTGCAACCACAAAGATAGTCTCCCGGGCCACAATGTCCCTCTAGAAAGAGGAAGCAAGGTGTGTGCCAAAAACCGTGCCAAACGGAGAAAGTTAAGCGGTCTCGAACCGAGGCGCGTGGCCGACGACTCCGAAAATTAAAAACTGGTCTCCAAACAGGAACAGTGGCCTGCGACCACGAAAAGTAGCCTACGGCCACTGAGAGATGGTCTACAATACCTCTCCCTCCCTTCGGAAAGAGAAAACAAGACCTGGTTCGTAAACCGAGGTAAAGCATAAAAGGGTCCCGAGGCCCAGAGACAAGGCTCTCAGCCGAAACTCCGAAACCTCAGAATGAGCACAACATGCGCCATCACCGAGCGCTCTATCGATGACGTCTGAGTCTTAAGGTCGGTCAAAAATGGGGTGTCTACAACTGTCACTCGCCGCAAGAACATATTCGTCTACTAATGTCAACTGAAACAAATGGATGTGAATGCACCTCATAGACATCATTCCCAGATGAACTAATAATCCATGGCCTCGAAGTATTAAAAGCATCATGCAACTTGGATTCCATTTTGGGGCATATCACACTATTTCATTTATTAACAAGTCCCCTCTTCTTAGCAATTTTCCTCATCAACTTAATTCTTACACTATCAATCAACTTTGTGATACGCAAGTGGCGTTTCTCTCGTATCCATGAATTGAAAAATTCAGCTACATTTGACCACATCTCTCCAAAGCGTTGCCCTCGAAAATATGCATTACTCCAATGATCATATGGTATGTCATCTAAAACCTTTTCAACTCTTGGCCCACCTTCAGTCTTTAACTCAACCAACCATTGATGAAATGTTTCTTCAGTTGGAGCATATGTACATTTCCCAAACAGAGTGATAAGCTTTTTTTGTCAATCCATGAAACATGCCACGCAAATGATGCCTCAAGTTCATCTTCAAATGATATAAACAATAAGCATGAAAATCCATTGGGAAAACCTTTAGCAAAATTTCAACTAATCTAAGGTTACGATCTGACATGAATGCAATATTTCGTTTTGGTGAAACAATTGTACTCAAATGCTCAAAAAACCAACGCCAGTTGTCTTGATTCTCTGAGCCTACAACTACAAAACAAACAGGAAAGAACCCTGCATGTACAAAACAGAAAAAATGAGAATATTCTACTATTCTTAGAAAATGGTAACACTTTAACATTCAAAATATCAAACACTAAAATGAATAACTGAAAAAATAAAAAATGCATGTACAACAACAATATTATATAAAATTTAAAACATTCAATCATATTTCTAAACTGAGAACTTTCTCAATTTCAAAATAGAGAAAATAGACTTCTTGTATACCTTGATTTCCATCTTTTCCTGTAGCAGCAACTAAATTTCCTCTAAATATTCCTTTCAAAAATGTGCCATCAAGGAATAAGAGAGGTCGACAATAATCAAATCCACCAATGGAACCATGAAAAACAACAAATAATATCTTAAGCCGTTTAATATCATCGTCACACTCAAACTCAATGTAACTCCATGGATTGCAACTCTTTGCAACATCCACATACCATCTTAACTAGTCAAATGACATTAAGTAGTCTCCAAAAATCTTACATTTTGCTTTCTCTACCCCCAACCAAGCTTGACAATAACTAACTCTCAGCCCATTTCCCAACTTAAAATCCCAAACAACATGAACTGGACGTGTCAATGGATTATCACGAACACCTTTAACAATCAAATCAACAACTAAATCAGAACTCATACGAGAATAATTCATCGTACGTACTTTAGCACCACATGTGTGGACATTGTTCAGCTTCCTTATATAAAAGAACCCATTAGCATTCTCCACTCTACCATGAACATTCCACATACAACCTTTTGTCTCTCTAAACAAACATTGTGCGGAAACACGAACTTTATCGTTTTTAACAAATATGAACTCAAATCCACACTCAATAGAAAACTTCGACAATGCATTACGAAATTCAACAATTCCACCTTCAAATTTTTGTCCTACATGTGTAATACTAACTGCTAACCAATAGACAACAGTAATTTTTCCTTGTGTCGACAAAATGATGATAACTTATCAACCTCTTCTTTAACCTCCAACCTCGAATTCCTTTTGGAGGATGTAGATGCTCTGTTTGACAAGTTCACAGACTTACTGTTGTCATGAGACAATGTAATATCACAAACTTCAAAATCCAACATTGACTCTTTCTCCATAATCCAATCTTTTGTTGAGATAACCACAGTCAATGGTAGAGTTTTTTACTCTCACAACAACATCAATACACTTTGAATCAAAATGCACAACTAATGCCAACAACAAATCTAACTCTTCATAGTTGTCCAACGTACAACTAGGATGTCCAGGCAATGAGTAAGATAGACAAATATTATCAAATTGCAAACTATCCCATTTCAAACATAGCTTATCAACCAACTGATCATATGTAACCTTTTGATCAATCTTAATTGCAAATGTGCAACCATTATACTTGCACAACAAAAAAAATAGGCGCACTTGTACAACCTTCACTCGTCTTTCAATCTAAACAAGAAAAAAATATTGCATCAATAAAAATCAGAACAAATACTTCATAACAATACTAAGAACTTTCTCAGTTTTCACAAGTCACGTTTTCAATTCATAAAATACCTAACCAAATCACGTTTTCAATTCATAAAATACCTAACCAAACCGAGAAATCATCCAGCAAATCACGTCTTCAATTCGTAAAAACGAAATTATTCAACATATTCTCATAAATAAATTCAATCAAAACTAAAGAAAATTCTAAAACACATAATATACAAAATCGAAACAATACATACCAATAAACCAGATTGAAGATCAAATATCCAGCAAATCAATTCTTCAATTTATAAATCGAAATCACACATAACAAACTCCAACAGATTTCAACTCAAAAAGCATACCAAACTAAGAAATCCTTCAAGATCCTTTGTTATTCGAATCAAAACTGAAAAATCAATTATGTATAATAGCGAACCAAACCAATAAATCCTTCAAGATCGTTCACGATTCGAAACTTCAGCTACTTCCATAACTGATCTGTTAACTGATTTGTTTTTTCTTTCTAGTGAATAACGTCAATACTATTTTATAGACACTTGTTTATGTTAAACGGCAAACACGTCTTTTTACCTATAAATGGGACTTATTGGTTCAAAAAGTTTTTGATAGGACCTAAGCTACTACCAAACATGTTGATAGAACTTTTAGGTAATTATTCCAATATTTAATGAGGAAAGGTTAAGAAAATTCAACTAATTCAATCGTTTTCATAAGTAGTATAATTTTGATTTAAATTGGGAAAAGTTAGACAGCATTTACAAAATTAATTTGGACAAAGTATTCAGAACATTGAGTTAAAAACAAAAAGATAAAAATTAAATATTTCAAATTTAGCCAAGATGTCATATATTTTGACAACAAAACAAGATTTTGTCTTAATGTTAAATAAATCTTCAATAATATAACCTAGGCTCATTAGTATTACCACCACATTCTATCAAAAATGTATATATATTATTTTTAGTTACTTCCACAAACCCTTGAGGCACTAAAATATTATTATTATTATTTTAAATTTATACTCCACATTAAATTTTGAGAGAATTACATGCAAGTTAAAGAAGGTAAAAAAAATTATAAATACATGGAACTGTAAATATGTATGTGATGGAATACAAATAAAAAACTGTGAGGATGTTAATTTCACTTACACCCAACCATGTATTGATAATTTTTTTCTTCTTTTTCCACCTGCATATAATACTCCCTTGAATTTTTCATGTTCCCTCAAGCATATGACCATGATTGATTGTTGTAGTGCACATTTATTGTGAGCACAATTTTATTTTATTTTTTTAGAAATTACTCCTCAGTGATTTTTTAAAAAATTAATTAATTAATGAAAAAGTTTATCATTTACACTTTAATATTTATAAAGTTTATCATTCATTTTTAAATATTTTTTAAAATATACACGTGTGAAAATTTTCCTTTTTTAAAAAAGAAATTATTTTCTATCTGGATTATAGTTGGGCTTTTTGTAGGCTCAATTTAGTTAGATAGATAATATAAAAAATTGAAAGAAAATAATTTTTTATGTGTTTGTTTAGATGGAGAATCTTAAAAAGTAATGAAAGTTTACTGTACAACTCAAATAACTTATACGTCTTTTTACCTATAAATGGGACTTATTGGTTCAAAAAGTTTTTGATAGGACCTAAGCTACTACCAAACATGTTGATAGAACTTTTAGGTAATTATTCCAATATTTAATGAGGAAAGGTTAAGAAAATTCAACTAATTCAATCGTTTTCATAAGTAGTATAATTTTGATTTAAATTCGGAAAAGTTAGACGGCATTTACAAAATTAATTTGGACAACGTATTCAGAACATTGAGTTAAAAACAAAAAGATAAAAAATAAATATTTCAAATTTAGCCAAGATGTCATATATTTTGACAACAAAACAAGATTTTGTCTTAATGTTAAATAAATCTTCAATAATATAACCTAGGCTAATTAGTATTACCACCACATTCTATAAAAAATGTATATATATTATTTTTAGTTACTTCCACAAACCCTTGAGGCACTAAAATATTATTATTATTATTTTAAATTTATACTCCACATTAAATTTTGAGAGAAATACATGCAAGTTAAAGAAGGGAAAAAAAATTATAAATACATGGAACTGTAAATATGTATGTGATGGAATACAAATAAAAAACTGTAAAGGTGTTAATTTCACTTACACCCAACCATGTATTGATAATTTTTTTCTTCTTTTTCCACCGGCATATGATACTCCCTTGAATTTTTCATGTTCCCTCAAGCATGTGACCATGATTGATTGTTGTAGTGCACATTTATTGTGAGCAGAATTTTATTTTATTTTTTTAGAAATTACTCCTCAGTGATTTTTTAAAAAAATTAATTAATTAATGAAAAAGTCTATCATTTACACTTTAATATTTATAAAATTTATCATTCATTTTTAAATTTGTCGTTTTGTTTTTGATGTATTACATGTAAATTCAAGCCAAGGGCTTAATGTGTAAATGAGTTAGTACTCTTTTTGTTGTAACCAAGTGTTAGCTTGGAAAGCTGTAAGCCTGTAGGGCATTTTGCTTTTGTTGTTAACATGTAATACTTATGTAATGAAACTCTGATGAATAAAAGAATGTGGTTATTTCATATGTCGGTGAATGTCTTATTTGATGGGTTTAATATTATTATTTTGAGAGCGTTACAATAGATAATATAAAAAATTGAAAGAAAATAATTTTTTATGTGTTTGTTTAGATAGAGAATCTTAAAAAGTAATGAAAGTTTACTGTACAACTCAAATAACTTATTAGTTAGGCTAACAATTTTTTACAAAATATATAGAAGGAAAAAAAAAAAATCCCACAAATCTTGACAAGATTTATTTTGTTTTTCTTTTTATCCATGTTTTTCTTCACAATTCCCTATTATGTAGTGATTAATTTTTTTTCCCTTCATTTTCTTACAAAAATTTTTCATCTATTCAAATGCATGTAAAAAAAGAAATTTTCATTTCTTTTTCTTTTCTTTTCTTTCACTTCAATATCTATCATTTTCATTTTCTATGTTCCATTTCTTTCTAAATAAACGGAACCTAAGTCCATCACGAATTTCATTTTAATTATTCAAACCATTTATTTTATAATGCTTTTTGTATATATCATTCATAGAAAATAAAAAATAAAAATTAAGTCAATCTAATAATTGCAACTTTTTCATTTAATCGCATTTATTTTAAAAAAAATGAATGATTAGTGTATTTTTTTAAATAGATTATTATTATTATTATTATTATTATTTTAGACGTGCAATAGCCAAATAGAAATTGATCTTGTTAAAAAAATATATATTTTTTACACAATTTTCAGTTAAATATGTCATATAGCCAAACGATTAAATAAATTTTTTTTTAAAACTTCAAAAGTGACTAAAAATTATAGCTAAATAAGACCTCAATAATATTTGGTCCGAAACATTTAAGTGTAATTAATTACAAACATGAAAATTAGGATTTAGCTTTAGAACACATGGGATGGGGGTAGCCGTGCACGGTGGCTTCGCCTTTGTGTTTGCTGAGTTACAGCCACTGCTCAACGGGAAATTATTCAATATTTCTGTAGTATCATGTGTCTGTACTTTTTAACTAATTATTATTTAATATATTTATTCAAGTTTCTCAATCACCCAACATAATACATCACCTATCCACTTTCTCCACCAATCACAATGCTACAGAATACCACGTATCTATATTTCGAGATTACTAAATAATTACTCCTGGTCAACCATTCATTCCTCATATTGTGGACAAAAAATTAGTGATTTTTAGGTAAATTCATATGGTGTCTTAATTTCTTGTTGATTAATTAAAGTTGGGGGATTCAAATTTTGTTTGGGGATTGGCTATTTTAATCACATTACTCTTTTTTATATTTTTTTGTAAAAGTTAAAAAATTAACAAAAATAATCAATTCCTAAACTATTCTCACTATTTCTATTTAGGATTGTAAAAAATTTGATACTTATTAAGTGATAAGTGGTGTAGAGCAATACTTTAAGACGACTAAATAATCATTCATTGTGAAGAGTCTCATTATCATTGGTTTTCTTTTAAAAGTTTTACTGTTAAATTAATAAATTCATTTAAAAAAATTCAAATACATCAATGAGTTTTAAAATTTTAACAAGGTGACATTTAAAATTTCAAAAAAAAAAAAAAACTCCCCAAACCTCAAATCCATCTTGTTCGAAAGTTAAGAATCAGAAAAATGATTCAAAAAGTGGTAAAATAATATTAAATAAAATAAAATGCGTGAGGTGTGACCCACATTATGTTACACTATTCATATTCTAATTATTTTTCAATCTACATTTTTTGATTTCTCAACCTTTTTTCAAAGGTAAAAATGTTAGAACTCCAATTTTTTACAGTCAAAATGGTAAAAGTAGTACACTACAATTGAGAATATATATGTATATATATATATATATATATGTGTGTGTGTACCATACATTTATTTTGGATAAATTGTATTTTTCCCTAAATTATGTCCCCTTTTGAACTTTTTATTTTATTTTTTATTTTTCTAATTTAAACTCAACAGTTTAGAGTCTAAACAATTGAAAATTACCACC